AAATTTTTTCCACACAACACAGGGAAACAATAAGGTCCAAACGAAACAAAAAAACTGTAGTGTCCCCAGAGAGAAGCAGAATTATAATATAAAATTAAAAAAAAAGAACGTAAAACATTCACCCGAGCTTAGGGGTTTTAAAACGGGGTTTTTAACCCTTTGGCCCAGTACCCTTCTTTTCTGCCCCCTGTCTTTGCAGATCTAAAAAACCAATTTTTTCTTATTTCTTTTTTCGTAATGAATTCAAAAACCAGTTTTCCTTGACTATAATATTGACTTTTGGGGAAATCAAACAAAAAAAAAAGGGGCTCGAAACAATATTTTTTTTGAAAAAAACGATGTTGGGGCCCTCCATTTTTCTTTCCCGTTGTTTTTATATTTAAGATCGATTTCGTTTGCAATTTTTAATTATAACATTTTAAAGCTTTCCCAAAGAAAGGAAAAAGGTGTCAAAAACCTGTTTTTAGGTCCCTCCCCTTCACGCCAGCGGGGGTACCCCGCTGCCCTTTTTGTCGTGCCCACCGGTGGTCCGAATACGGGCTGTCCCTCGAAAAATACTTCGAGCGGCGATTTAAAGGGGTGAAACCAATAAAAAAATTTACACCCGGGCCCCACTGCACCCCTTTTGGGACTCTATCCTTACTGAAAAAATGTTATAAAAACCCCGTTTAAACGTTAGCTCCCCACCGACAGTGAGGGGTCAGGCGTGAAGGGGGCGCGACCGACGAAAAGCTGGCGCTCAGGTTGCCGCGCCCAAAAACGCAAATTGTGGGGATTTAAAAAAAACAAAAGTCCCAATAAAGGCATTTTTTTTCTAGTTCAGTAAACTTTGGGGAGATTATCGATAGTTTAGGGGATCTAAGTTTTTATTGAAAAACAACAAAGGTTAATAACTAAAAAATTAATATTTGTGTACACCGATAAAAAAATTTCTTAAGAAACTCGCCCCCCGTCCCCTTTCTGGACCGGGCGATTTTTGACCTGTGGGAAACTACTAGCAATTTATAATTTTTGAAACCCAAATCTTTTAAAACACATTAAAAACGGTAACGGGTAAAAGGCTTTTTAAAATTTATTTAAAGTTTATTTAACGGCTTTTTTGGGCTGTGGGAACAGGGAAAAAACACCCCAAAAGCCTCGCCAAATGGGTCCATGTCACGTTTACACTCTACGAACACCCCTTTAGGGGACGATAGTTTATCATTAGTGATGTGCCACATCGTTGGGAAAGGTATATCCGCGGATAGGGAAAATAAATAACTTGCACTGCGCGAGCTTTTTGATGTTTAAATTTTAGCACACAAAAAAAAAATATTTGGGGTTTGTCTTTTTTAAAAAAAATAGTCAAATTACCTTGGGTTTTAACGGTACAGTGCATAGTTTAGTAGTCACAGCGTTCACATACTTTTCAATACTAACAAAAATTTTTCAATTTGAATGTAAAAGATTTTTGTAATTTTTAAAGGGTTTTAATATCGGGCCCACATCACTAATTATTTTTTTTCTGTCCTTTAAATTTAATAGGGGAAATGTTTCCCAAAATTTGCAGATTAATATTATATAGCTTAGGTTTTTGTATAGCTATATTAAAAGTTTTTTTTAAATATTTAAATACTTTAAAATTATTTTTCCAAAAAAGAGAAATAAATAAAACATTATACCCCAAATAAGTGGGGCCCTTTGTCCCTTTGCGAGGGGGCGATTTTTTAAAAAATATTACGGTTTTAAACTCACGCGTATATTTTTTATATTATTGGGGGAGTAAAAACCCTATACATTTAAAAATATGAATTTGAAATTTCAAAGGGAAAAATTTGTATTGGGAACATCACAACTATTAAATTTCCGGGGCATGACCGGCCTGGGTCTCGAATGTTTATTAAAAAAGTGTACTAATTATAAAAAAAACTTATATAATTAAAGACTTTAAAGGAATACATACAATATAAAGGTTTAGGGATTCAAACCCTATAAATTTTTATGTTAACTTTGGGAAATTTTACAAATTTTACAGCACCCGACTGCGAAGGGAAACCGTGTTTGTTTTTGCGAAGGGTAAGGGCCCCCCCCTCTCCTTCAGCTTACACCCAAGGGTTTTGGGGGGTTTAATTTGTGTACAAAATTTGCATAGATTTTGGGGTTTTTTTTTCTTATAGTGTCAAATTTTTTTTCATTTTTCCAAAAATTGTAAAGGCATTTGAGATTTGTTTGCTTTTTATTGGGAAAAAATTTAATAAATTTTCTAGATCCTAAAAAAATTCCCTTTCTATAAACAGCCCCATTAGGAATTTTTAAAAAATGTTTACAAAACACTGTGCCCTATTATACTAACAAGGGGGAAGTTGTTTTTTGAGTATTTAATGCTTTCATTGCTTTTAAAAATCTGTTAATCCCAAGTAGTGTCCCGGCAAAATGTGGTCACGTAAAAAAATTATTCCAGCTACTCCCCAAAAACCCCAAGTGTGCAATTTTCTCGCTTTTTAGTTTACTTTCTAACAAAACTTTATAAAAAACAGTATCTAACAATTTCAATTAAAAATGTGTACGCGAAAGGAAACATTGACCCGAGGTGAGACCGGGGTTTGTTTACAGTTTTCAAGGAGTTTATGGTTTTTCTTTGATCGAAATTTCCCCCAAAGTATACTTAAGTACAAAACTGAAGCGGAAATGATAAAGAAACAACCCCCAAAACTTTTGTGCCCGTCTTTGGGTCAAACTATAAATTTTTATAAGGGTTTTAATATGACCTTTTGGGGTGGTGGCGAAAATAGCTATACTGTTTCCGAGAAGCGGGGGGCCCGCCGCCCCACCAAAACCAGGGTAAAAGGGCGCCCCAGTCGCCCGGTTTGAGGGGGGAGGGGATCTCCACGACCCCCACCACAGCGACGGAAAAGGGAAATTCAAACATTGAAAAAAACTTTTTCAGTATTAAACGATTTAAAATATGTACAAATTTAATTTTGGACACAATTTTTAAAAGTATGAATTAAAACGAAAAATTATTTTTCCCCGGCCCCTATACTATAACATAACCTAAATCACTTTTGCACTTAAAACAAAGGTTTAAAATGTCCCCCACTGAGTGTTAGAACAAAAGCGCCTCCCAAAAGTGTGACGGGGGGCGCCACCCCTGTTGGGTTCATTCACCACCGAATGGAATTTAAAAATCCAGTTTAAGGCGAACACGCACCGAAAGTTTCTAGCGCTGGTAGCAGCATAAAAACGTTTTGGGAAAGTATCGAGAAAGATCGAAACGTCGGTCCTTTTTATTTTTAAATTTTTTTCAAATCAGTAATCCCCTTCTAAATCCTTCTTAACGTGAAAAAGTTTGTGGGGAAATTTTTCTGTTTGAGTCGAAATCCTTTAACTTTTTGTTTTTCAAAAAGAAGGCCCCCTCTTCACGTCGAAATTCCCCTCCACCAGCCAGCCGGGGGAAGGGTTTTCCCCGGGGTATGAAATTTCGTTTCCCCGGGGGCAGGGAGGTCGGAACGGGTGCACAGACGTGGCTTGCGGCATTAGCGCGGCGTCCCTGCGAAGCTGTTCACCGGCACGTGGGGGCGGCGGGGGCCTCCGCGGGGGCGGCGGGCCCCGCGGGGGCCCAGGGTCATCAGGCGCGCGCGGGTTTGGGCGGCTCGCCCTCCGCCCCCCCCGGGCCCGTAAGCGTACTCCCGGGCCCGCCACTTCACAGCTGCGAAAACGAAAAATTCCCCGGGGCCGCTTAGCGTCCTTGTAGAAAAGGGGCTGCCACCCGGAAAAATTTTAAAATTTTTGTCGCGTGGGTCCCCCTTTTCCTGATCCGATGGGGGTTTTGGGCCCCGGGGGGATCTCTCCAAGACCCGGGCAGACCGAAAGGGCGACGTCAGGGGGTTGCGGGCCCACACACCAAAGGGGGGGTTTAACCCGTAGGCTTTTCGGAAAAAGCAGGCGGCAGTCGGGCCCCCGAAAATGCGCCAGTTTCGAGTAGCGCTGCGGGGGCGGCCCAGGGTGCAGCTTTCCCAAAAAGGGGGATCATTTTCCAGGGGGAATCGGCCGCGAGAAACTTTCGCACACCACACCCGCACGTTTTAAACCCGACTTCCCCCAGGTACCCCTCAAGACTACGTTGTAAATAATTAAATTTAAGGGGACCGCAAAGAATTTTAAAAATCATAATACAATAGAGCCCGGGGGTCGGGACCCTTTGGGGTGGTATGCGGGTTTTTCTTGGGGGAAAGGGCTTTGCGGAAGGGCAAAGGGTAGGCTCTTTCTTTGGGAGGTTTCGCTCCAGAGTGAGCGCTCCACCCGCTTCTGTATTCGGGGGGGGGGAGAAACCCCCCTCCGCCCGGCGGCCTCCCTTCTGCGCGGGGGGGGGCAGCCCCCCGGGGAAGTTCACGCACAGCAGGCATTTCCACGTTTCGGGCTCACTTTCGCACACCGACACACGCATTGAAACATTAAAGTACTTATTACAAAGCTTTTGGGATTAACCCTTTCCCCTTTTTAGGGTTTTTTTATAAAGTTTGTAACCGACTCCTTTTGGGGTGATTTTTGACTGACTTTTAAAAGGTCAGAAAATTTGTTCAAAACCCTTTTTAGATATATCGAGGACCCCCCCCCATGCCCAAAACAAAATAAATTTAAAAAAAAAAGTTATATTAAAACTAGTTAAAAAGGGATAATTTTTTTTTTTTAAACCGTAGTTAAGATTCAAAATTAATAGGGTTAGAGCGGCGAGGTGGACTCACTCGGGGAGCTTCTCGATGGTGGGTAAAAGTGGCAATAATGGTGGAAAGGGCCTTGGGACCTTGTCGCAGCCCCCATGGGGCTCGGGCCCCCTCCATGCACAAAGGCGCACCAGGGCCTCGGGGGGGGGTCCCCGGGGCCCGGGGTTGGGCCGTCCCGGGCGCCCCCCCGTGGGCGAGTGCCGTGCGGGGCGGGGGACGGCCCTCCGCCACCACCTGGGAGCCGTTCGAGTCCAGCTTTGGATTTGGGGGCCTCAGGTCCTGCAAACCGGGCCCCCGGGGCACACCTTGTCCCCGCTCGGCCCGGGGGCCGTCGGCCCCGCCCCCGACCAGGGAAAAAAGCCCAGAGGCCTTTTAAATCTGGGCTACTTTTTTTTTTTTTTTTTTGGAATAGAGGGTATGGAAAAATGACTACCCCCCCATGACCTTGTAACTTTTTAATGTAAAGGAAGATTTTATAAAAGAGTTAAAAAAAGTTTTTTATTAAATTTTTTAATAAAAAATATTATATGTCCCAAATGAGCCTTTAATATCATTTCCCCATTCGTATTTTCGTTTCCCAAAATTTGTTGAGGGTTTTCTCGGGCTTTAAAGGTACCCCCCATATCCCGTTTATGGTTTCGTTAAAAGGGTCACACCGAACCCGTATTATGTTTAGGACAGAGTTAAATTTTTTTTTGTGAAAAAAAAATTTTGACTTTTTCGTCTTTTAGGTCTACGTTATTTATAAAAATTGACATGGCACCGGGCCGAGCTGTTGTTACGATGGAAAATGAAAGTGCTACTTATAAAAATAAAAAAAAGTTGTATCGCTTTTATTAAAATTTTTAAGGGTTTTTTTGGGAAAAAAACATGTGGAGAAACGGTATCCTCGTAACACATTTTTTAGGTGAGGGGTTCGAGGGAGGGCGGTTTAACGGTTGAAAATGTTTTATAACGCGAAAGTCACTCCCATTTTTTGGGCCTCAATTTCTGCTATTTTATGTTCACGCCCAAACCGTGTCATACCCCTGACACGCTATTGAGATGCCTCAGTTCCCCTTGGCATCGGTATAAATATCGGTAGTTGAAAATAATTACGTTTTTGTGAGAAATGATTTATTTGTTTTTATTATAAAAAATTAAAAAAAGAACTAAATAAATTAAAGTAACTTATTAAAAAAATAAAAATAAATAAATTAAAATAAATTTTTAAAAAATAAAAAAAATAAAAAAAAAATTAAAAAAAATTATTAAATAAAAAAATAATAAAAAAAAAAAACTCAGTTTTTTTAAATTTATTTTTTTTTTTAAAAAATTTTATTATAATAAAAAAAAAAATAATCATTTATACCGATATTTATCCGATCCCAATGGCTACTCGATGGCATCTCAATATCGTGTCAGTGTATGACAGGGTCTGGCGTAAACTAAAATAGCAAATTGAGCCCGGGTACAAAGCGGAAAATACGATCGATGTTAAAAATTAAAAAACCGTGATCCGAGAAAAGGGCCCCTGTGACAAGGGTCCGGTACTCACGTTGGGGCTGGGGTGGGCGTTTTGGGGTTGGTAGTGACGCGGGCGGGGGGGGGGCGCGGGGCGCTCGGCCCAGGGGTGTTTTTTTGAAGTCGTGCGTGCCCCCGCCCGCCTGGGGCTCGCCCCCACGGCCTGTACCCGCCTCCGACAAGTCGGATGTGACTTCTTCCCTTAAATTTGGGGCCTTATTCACTCTTTTGTTAGTATGCCCTAATACTGTTATTTTAAAGAGTATTTTTGCCAGAGGACAATAAAAATATACTGCCGAGTGATGAAAATATGTATAAAACATGATGTCACCGGGCAATTACTTAAAAACGAGAAAGTTCTACGTAACTTATGTCAAAGCTTTATGTGTAGTGTTTGACATCACCTGGGATTTGGATACCCCGTTGTCGGTCCATGGGTTTTTAAAGAATAACCCCCCTTCGGGCTCTTGTTTCGCTTCCGTCCTTCCACACAGTTAATGAAAATACGAAAAGTGAAGGAAAAAATGTCGTGAAGTTTTCAGTAAAAAATTATTTTTAATTTTTATGAAATCAAGTTCCTTTGGGGGAAGGGAAAACTACTAATTTTCCACAAAAAAATTTCCATCTTGTGTTTTTAACATAATGAAAAGGTTACGTATTTTTAAATGTCTTTTTTTGTTTTTTTTCAATGGGCAATAATTTAACTTGAAAAAACGACGTATAAAAAAACATTGTAATTTGGCAGTTTTCGTGTAATTTTGTAATTAAAAAATATAGTTTTCCAATGTTTTCCCTTGGCGGGGCCCGCTGCGGGGTGTGCCCACTTGGCGTTTCGGGTAGGGGGGGGGGGGCCCCGCGGCGGGCCGGGCGGCGGGGGGAGGGGGTGCGCGGCCGCCGCTCCGCCGCCCGCAGCCCGGCCCCCCCGCCGCCCGCCGCCCCCGCCGGCCGCCCCCCCGGGCCCGCCCGCCGGGCCCGCCCGCCGGCCCCCCGCGCCGTATGCGTTCGAGTTCGTTTCGCACCCATCACTTCAATAACAATAAGTCATTTTGTTCTCATTTCCAGCTGCTTAAAAAAAACATTGTTTTCATCGATCGCTCAAGTTTTTTTATAACATTTCCCCCTTATCATATTAGATTTTTTTTTTCATAAAATTTAAAATTTTTTTTTTTTTTTATTCAAGATAAAAACTTTTTATCTAGGGATGTTTTATCGGGTGTGGTCTAGTGGTTGTGATTGATGCGACCGGAGGTCGTGGGTACGATTCCCACCCGGCAAAAATTTTTTGATCAGCACGGTCTTTGTTCTGTGCTGGGGGTAATTTATCTTATTATTATGTATTTTGAAATTAAAAAGTTGTTTATCAGCGACCCTTCCTTTTAAATGGATGCTCGACATCGGACATACAGGGGGGAGGCACCTTGGGGCAGCTATTTGAGTGACATTGTGTTGGTCAGTGAGGAGGGGTTTTTGAGGCCCGGAGCAGACGGAAAAATGGCAACAAAGGCTGGGAATTTGGCTTAAAATCAGCAGAACCAAAACTGAGTACATTTCTGCGATTTTCCGGGGGTCTCTCCGTCCTAAAACATTTCGGGATGGGATAGCGTAACCCTCTGCTCCAATTTTTAAAGTACCCATCGGTCCCTCTTACAATGTGATGGTGAGATTGATCGAACTGTAAGCTCGAATCAATACGGGGTGGTAAGTGGCGGCAGGGAACGGGGGAAAAATGTGCCCCAGTTTTCCCCCAACACTGAGGGACAAAAATTTAAAAACTATTTCAGACTGCCGTCCCCGTATGGTCGAAAGTTGGCCCATTTAAGAGAACGGAAGAACGCCTGAAACGTAGCCGAAATGCGAATGCTGAGATGGAAGTTGGTGTGAATCAGATGGACAAGGTTTGGAAGAGTAATCGGGGGTCTGAAAATAGCGCCACTGGATGAAAAAATTAAGAAGTAATAGGTTATTTTTGGTTGGACATGTCATGGGGGGAGGGATGAGGAAAAATGTGGCGAAGAAGTTTTAGGTATGGGGTTTGAAGGGGACAAAGAAAAGCAGACCGAAAAAAAAATGGTGGACTCGTGAGGGGGGATATGGCTAGGAAGGGGGGGAAAAAGTGAGAACGCATGACAGAGTAAAATGGAAAAATCATCATACTTGGGGCCCACCCCAAATAAAAATTTGGGAAAAAAGGGAGGAGATATGATTTTATCAGCAGTCTGTTTTCCCATATGGCTCTGCCTAGTTTAGGGTCAACGGTGGTTGAGATGTGTAAAAATTTTTAAAATTATTTTTTATTATATAAAAAAACACTAAACGTATTGCTTAAAAGCGGGAAGCTCAAAACGGCTCGACCGTTCAGCTTTTTTTTTTTTATAAAAAATAAATTTTTAAAAAAAAAAACTAAAATTTAAGGGCAAAAATTTTTCAAAATTACAGAAAAAAACCCCCTCAAAAAGTTTGGTTTAATTTTTTTTTAATTTT